CCCCCACCCTCTTTTCGACTTCCAGTTTATTTTTCTGGAAATATGTAATGTTTAATATACGAAAACAAAAGCACAAAACCAGAGGCGTAGCGACCCCTCCCGGCGTCCGGGGACAAACTTTCGATTTGGCGCCCCCCCCCCCCCCCTATATTTGTTATATTTTTAATTCAAAATAGCAGCTAAAATGAGCTTATTTTGGCGCCCCTAGGGTAGGCGCCCGGGGACATATGTACCCGGGCGCCCCCCGGTCGCTACGCCTCTGCACAAAACAATGAAGGAAAGCGTCGTAAAGACTCGACAAATTAGCCATCTCTGAGCGCTCTAAATGAAACGTACGATCTCTTGTCAGAGGAGTTTATTCAACGTGTAATGTTAGTGTAAAGTTCCACTTTACTCGTGTAGCGAGAACAGTTTTCGTATAGTTTTATCGCAATTTTCATATATACAAGAATAACTTTTTATAATTACCATTTGCCTATAGCACGCGATTAAAGATACAAGGATATGTCTATATATTTTTAAAATATTATTTTGAAACTGCAATTTTAAAAAAATGGCCCTTAATAATGTATGTTATCAGCAATTAAAAAGCAACATCAAAATAAAGGCAAGTTACCAGTTACTAGGATGCCGTCTGATAAAAGTGAAAAAGAGAGAAAAAGCCGGAAGTGATAACAGAAATTTGGCTAGTTGTTTGCTTTCTTTTAGAAATAAAACACGTTTATAGCAGCGCATGTTTATTTTCTATATTTGTCTATTGGCCATATCTGTCCAGCTCAAAGACTTGCCGGAACCTTAAACCACACAAAGGTATTATGAACAGCCCTCTTACGGCACCTAAAGACTAGTAGACACAACAGCGGCGGCTGAAGTCAAGTGTAATGGCATGATTAAGACTAGCCCCGACAGACGGTGTCGCCTTAAAAAAAAGTACCCCGCCTCTCACAAACGTCCGGTGTATAGTTACACAGTGTCCCAATAAACCATGCTAAATCAGCGATAATCTGCCTTAACGCGCCCCGCTCTTCAGCCGATGCCACGCCCTTCTTTTAGTTAGTGGTACCCCCGGGACAAAAGACGGGTAGAACCTACCCCGTGAAGCGGAACCCATTAGCCGTCGGATGCATTCATCCCTCGGATTAAGACCGGCATCACAAAGCTCAAATGTGGTCAGTGTGTTCACGGTGGTGTAGCATGTCCAGTGTTCGAGTCCACCCTAGCCGCGTCACGTACATCAAATACAACCTTTCATTTCTGGAGCCCGTAAACAAGTTTTATTTGACCCGGGTACAATGCATGTGGACTGAAAGGAATCGTAAAGTTAAAACCCACCCGCCGTAAAAGGGAGTGTGGGTTTTAGATCCAACCCTCGTAAATTGTGGTTTCCTTCTGTTGTTATACTGTCAAAATTATATAACAGTCTAGTTTTTTCCCGTTTAGTTCAAATAACCATCATTTATGTAAATAATATCTATTTTATTTATTTGGTCAAATTCGAATTTTGTTTAGTAAGTGTTGTTTTACAAATCTCTATTTTTTTTCATTTCACGCTGTAACTCAACCTCCTCCCCCCCCCCAGTACACTACCCAACACAAACACACACACACACAAACACACACACACACACATACCTATCCGGTTAGACTAAGCAATAGCTTCTCAGTAAATTTGTCAATCTTTTAAAGTTTTAATGACACCCAACATGAACATTTTATCTGTTTCTGTGCGAACTGCCTCTACCCACAGCATTGTGACGCCACTACTGCGTCTTATTTCATTCACCTCTAGCCTTGTGAGGCAACTGATACTAATTACTTCAAATACTTTAATATGTTGCGAACATTCACGTAATTTGAACATCAGCCATCTAACATTTTATTTTAACCCCTATTATCTGTCTAACATCTTTGTTAATTTAGGCCTATGCAGCTTAAACATCGTGTAACAAACAATGCTAAATAGTTTGTTATTTATTTCAAGTGTCTTTAAGCCTCTGTGTCATTTTGTAATTAACTAGTGTATAACTTGTGTTTACCTTCTGATCTTATTCTCCCATCCCATGTACCCAAAGCATGAGATTCAAAAAGTACACTAGCATTAAAATGTTATAACAGCTCATAGTTAGGATTGAAGAATTATCGTCCATTCATGCTTGTTTCCACAGGACCTTATAGACTTTAAAACTTTACAGTGACAACCAACACAACATAGACATAACCTGGCAATTGATAACTCTAGCAATTAGCTTAACTGGATAAAGTAGCTATTTAACTCATGGAAGATAATTGGGCGATAGAAAATGTGGGTTCAAACCCAGACTAAGGTATACTTTTCTAGAGTGTTAACTTGAATTAATTAATTTTTTAATTAGTTTGTACTGGGAATTAAAGCTTTGTATTAAAATAGAAGGAAGGGAAATAATGAGGTCGGAGGAATAAAAAAACACATTTTGAATAAATTAGCAGGTGTGGTGGACAATGTCTAGGTCTATTGACTTGACAGCTTATCCGACCCTTCATCGTTTCCCTGTCTTTGTGTGACGTGTGAGACTTGACAGGTACCCTTGTCCAGGGCCCCACTCTCAGGGTCCCCGCAACAAGGACCGGGCTTAGGGTGACCATAGAGCAAGTGTGAATTGTTGTCTATCAACGTAAAGCCCTCGTTGAACGCCTCCACGAGAACCCGCATCAAGCTGATCTCTTCTCGCGAGCCTGACAATACAGCAGAGACAAGGGCCATTAGCGCGCAGGGGAGATAACCAAATAAAAGCTGAAACGACAAAGGGAAGATTTTTATCAAGAGTGATCGCTACTAATTTAAGCTATTGTCCTTTTCTTTGAGCGAAAAAACACTCAGGGTAAATATTCATTGCTTAGCTATATTTTATGTTAAGCGGCGTGGTTGTGCGACCGCATAGTAGTTTTCAACAGCACCTTAATTAACTACTGCCTGCCCGTCTAAATAAAGAAAACTTTCCATATTTACTTTAATTACTTCGTGGATTATAGCTTCAACTATAAATCAAGAATACTTTATTGGTTTTAAAAGTTTTTTTTTAAACTAAACAATATTAATAAACTCAAGTAGGCTTATACCTTAACAAAAATGTAGTCGATAGTCAAACGTTGCGGTATAAGCGGAATGCAACAAGCTTACACACGCTTACACATTACGCTTTAACTCAAGAGAGTAGCGACCAATTCTGACGCCTGTGGCGGACTATAAATTTTGAGCCCCCCTCCCTCCCGTCTCTATATAGGCCCATAGTTACTTCTGTATGTTAATTATTCTTGCTGCGGTTTCATTTTGAGTAATGTATTACTACTCGGCTCATGTTTGTAAAATATTCTATATGCAATGTGACATTGAGAAAAAGGGTATTCAGACCAAGAGGTAGTCGGATCTTTAATTTTCCAAAGAAAAAAAATGACGTAGCAGGTAGTTTTCAAAAAATAGGAAAAGTTTTACTAACATTGCAGCAAAGATTAAAATTCGTTGACCAATTATGTTATAAGAAAATATGTAATCTTTAACCCAACCCCAAACTCAATACACATGATATTACATTGTTTAAAGACCCGCCTCCCCCACCTCACAGACTGATCCCGATAAAAATTGTGCGTGAGTGTATGTGTGTGCGTGTAAGTGCAGGCATGATTGTGTATGAGTCTATATGTGAATTAGTGTATATAAGTGTTTGTATTATGCGTTTGAGTGCGTGTGAGCGTGCGTGTGTGTCTATAATTGTGTGTATAAGTGTGTGTTTAAGTAGGTGAGTGTGTCTGCATAACTGTGTGTGAGTGTGTATGAGTAGGTGTGCGTCTGTGTATGAGTATATGCATGTGAATGTGTGTATGAGTGTATGTCATTGTGTCAAAGTGTGTGTATGAAGATGTTTGTGAATGTGTGTGTGTGTGCATGAGTATACGTATGAGTGTTTGCATGAGTGTGTGTATGAGTGTGTGCGAGTGAATGCGTGTGTGTACGTATGCTGAGGAAGGTGAGCGCTAATTCTAATTCACAACCAACATGACAGTTCATATCGAGAGGATGTCATGAGGTTGGCGTCAACAAAAACTCAACCGCGAATGTTGAGGCATGTTAATAATTATTTCACTCATCGTATTAAAACAGTTATCAAGAATAATTTATACTGTACCGGCATCCCCACCCCTTTTTTTTTACCGGTGATTTAAGTTGAGGATTAATTTGACCAACACTGTTTCTAATAACCCATGGTATGACTCGGCGATCTGTTGTTATTCGTTGTACCATAGGTCATTCTGACCCGCTACTTTTAAACGTCAACATATGTTGAATCACCATTTATAAGAAACACAACATTCAAATTGTTTCTATTGGCGGCAGGCGAGGACCCAATTTTAACATTTTCTCACGCTCGTGGTGACGATTTATTGCCGATCGTGCACGATTTATTGCCGATCGTGCACGATTTATTGCCGATCGTGCATGATTTATTGCCGATCGTGCATGATTTGCGTACATTAATTTCTGGGACAGCCGGCAGAGAGCACCGGGAATGTAGTTTTAGGAGGGGAGGGGGAGGGAGACGGGGGACATTGCGAGGTGACAATAGACAGTGACAGTGTCACAACAACCTAACGTAATCAACGGGAGCCACAGCAAGACGTGGTTTACGAGTGCGAGGCGCAGACCTGTATAAGTATACAAGGGTTCTCAATCTCTGAGTGTTCGAATATAAATACAGAGGCAGCTATCCTTTGCATAGTAGTCTTCACATCACCCGAAAAAAATACAATGTATTTTCGATTAGGAAAGGGGGGGGGGTGTTAGAATCTTATAGGATCTTTGTGGAAAAAGTTTTGTTTGTATATACGCATATTTAGGATTTTTTGTTTAAAAAATATACTTATAAAATATAAAGGTTATGATTAGCTTTTTTAAAAAAATAGTTTGAGATCCGTTAAATAATACCAGTACTGAACACATTTTTCCCACGCTAAAAGCATTCAATCAATTTGACGGAGATTCAGCTAGTTAGTTGTCCGTACATTTAGCGGTCACACTAGATAGTCTGGAACATTCTGATTTTGTCTCTTGTCTGGGTTATTAGCAAGACTGGAAAAACTTAGTTGATGATACACGGTCGATGTTCCAGTTAATGTTAGGTTGGATGATGAGAGACGTGACGAAACCAACGATGATGTCTTCAACCCTTGTGAGCTGTTTGATTGTCGTTACCTCTGTACTGTTGAGAGGCTGCTCGGCTGCTTCATATCACCAGGTACGTGTTCACCTTGTTTTCCTTTTACTCCACGCGTCATAGACTCTATAATACCATCTGGTACTATTAACATCTCTTTGTTGCCATCGACTCTATAATACCATCTGGTACTATTAACATCTCTTTGTTGCCATCGACTCTATAATACCATCTGGTACTATTAACATCTCTTTGTTACATTCGACTCTATAATACCATCTGGTACTATTAACATCTCTTTGTTACATTCGACTCTATAATATCATCTGGTACTATAACATCTCTTTAACCATCATTTGTTACCATAGATTTTATAATACCATCTGGTACCTTAACATCTCTTTTAACATCATTTGTTACCATTAATTTTATAATACTTTCTGGTACAATTAATATATCTTTTATCCATCATTTGTTACCATCAATTTTATAATACCATCTTCTATAAACATTTGTTACCATCGACTCTATAATACCATCTGGTACCATTAACATCTCTTTTACCATCATTTGTATCCATAGATTTTATAATACCATCTGGTACCATCATATCTTTTACCATCATTTGTTACCATTGACTCTATAATACCATCTGGTACTATAACATCTCTTTTACCATCATTTGTTACCATCGACTCTATAATACCATCTGGTACCATCATATCTTTTACCATTATGTATTTCCATTGACTCTATAATATTATCTGGTACTATAACATCTCTTTTACCATCATATGTTACCATTGATTTTATAATACAATCTCCTATAAACATTATGATCTTACCATCTGCTATCATCTTATTTAAAATAACATAATGAAATAAATAACAAAGATATTTGATACTATACAAAGTGAAAAAAATATTAGAATGGATTATATCCAATACTTTGGTGATTGATTAAAGTGTTGAACGATTCTTGTCATTAACAATTCAAATGCGTGTTTTTTTTAATTACAAGAATTGTATTGTATCTCCATTAATTTGCCTTCACCCCCCCCCCCAACACACACTCATTCTCGCTTAATATTTCACAATTTCAGCGACTCGGTTATCAGAATCCGGACTTTAAGATGGCGCCTTCTGCTGGTAAGTTTCTAAATCACATATTGACAAGAGATTCATGGATGCCGCGATCTTTAAAGTAATGCTAAACCACTTCGGCGAGGTTATCTGGTTAAAAAAGAAATCGACTATAACTACAGTGTCATTTTTATCTTTATTTTCATGGGTAGCACAATGTGTTTTGTTTTTTTTTTAAATTTATTATCCTAGTTGTCAAATTTTTTATTTGTTATCACGGGCAACAAGATTTATTCTTTACCCCAGTGTCATGTTTTTTTTATCATCATTAGCAACATGCTTTAACTTATATTATCGGTTCGTTTACGCAATATCTAAAGCGCCAGATCTTATAAAGCTTCTCATTACATTAAACATTAACCTTGTCCTTACCTATGTCCAACAGGTACTGTGACATGCGGCAGTCGACACTTTGACCACAGTGACGTCAACAGATTCATAGATACCCGCAGCACCAACGACGCGTACCCAGTTCCCGCCTGGAAGTCTATGGACCATGCTTCAAAGATTGTCGGTGGCAGGATGGCGGTTCACGGGTCTACCCCCTGGCAGGCTGGGCTACACCGCGTCTACTACAGCCCCACCAGTACTGCTCAGTTCTGTGGTGGCACCATCATCAGTGAGCACTGGGTCCTCACCGCCGCGCACTGCGTTGAGTAGGTTATTTTTAACTTTCATTGGGGGTTAGGGTTAAGCTATGTTACGATAATTCACGCTTCGGTAGAAATTCGTCACACATTTTTTTTTTTTAATCACCAAACATTCAAGCTTCAATTAAATCCGATACTTTTAGTTTATTCTCCACTAATTTAAAACTAAAAAAAGTTTATTTTGTGAATGATAATTAAATTGAAACTTGAAACTTTCCCGGGAGGGGGGGTTGGGGGGGGGGGACAGGGATACATGTAAAAGTATGTATTTTCTATATAAAATCTATTTCCGTCAAGGCGCCCCCTCCTTCCACATCTACATTAGACCAAATACTTTTCACCTCGGATGCTTGTTTAAAGTTTATTAAAAATCAATGCCAATCATACCAAATGCGGATTTTTATTCCCCCCCTCCCCTCCACACACACACACACACACACACACGTACACACACATCCACACACACACACATTCAAACTTCCTCTACATTTCTCATTTTCTTTTTCCTGTTCGTTTTCATGTTTATGCTTAAGTTCTCTAGAAGCAACGGGCTAATCATGACGTGTTTGGTAATATTGTACCCGGTTAATCTTGCCGTTTCCGGTTCATAGGTACGTGACCGGTTAACCTTGACGTGTCCGGTTCATAGGTACGTGTCCGGTTAGCCTTGACGGTCCCGGTTCATAGGTACGTGTCCGGTTAGCCTTGACGGTCCCGGTTCATAGGTACGTGTCCGGTTAGCCTTGACGGTCCCGGTTCATAGGTACGTGTCCGGTTAGCCTTGACGGTTCCGGTTCATAGGTACGTGTCCGGTTAGTCTTGACGGTCCCGGTTCATAGGTACGTGTCCGGTTAGCCTTGACGGTTCCGGTTCATAGGTACGTGTCCGGTTAGCCTTGACGGTCCCGGTTCATAGGTACGTGTCCGGTTAGCCTTGACGGTCCCGGTTCTTAGGTACGTGTCCGGTTAGCCTTGACATGCCCGGTTCAAAGGTACATGTCCGGTTAATCTTGCCGTGTCCGGCTAATCCCATTTATCTCACGTTTTGTCTGCAGAGATTTACAAGTGTCACAGCTAAGGCTAGTTGTGGGTGATCACAGTCTAATTAAACATGACGAGGGGGAGCAGGTGTTCCGTGTGGAGAGGATTTTGGTACACGGGAAGTACGACTACAAGAGTAAATATAAAGTTTTCTCAATGTTGTTGTGTCCAGTGCCTTATCCAATCACATTAAAAAAAGTAAAGTTCCTTTTCAGACCTATGCGTTGCACAGGTGAACTAGAGTTCACATTTTTCTTGCCCCCAGTATATGAAGGGATGAAGTAGTCAGCACTATGCCGGGGCGACTCTAATTTCCCCAACGTAAGTCAGGTACCCATCACGTTCAACAGCCACAGGTCCGAACCACGATCCGAAACTCGAGATTTTCGAGTTATCAACCCAACGCTCAACGATTCGTCCACGCCGTCTCACTCCTCCCCCCCCCCCCCCTCACCAAACCCCAACCACCTTTACTTTCCTTAACATGAATCCGGTCCTATTAGGACTGGATAGAGTGTTGCATCTAACTGATTCAAATCCTACTATAATAAGCGACAACGTTTTAATAAAGGCGGTTTGTCTAAAAAAAAAAAAAAAAAAAAAAAAGCAAATACCAACAATTATAATTATTGCACACAGCTACACGCGACAAGACATATATGTATGTATGTGAGTGTGCATGTGTATGTGTACGTGTACGTAAGTACTTGTACGTGTATATAACCACATCTCTTATAGCAGATATCGCATATGTGTTCCTCTACCATTTAATATCTTATTATTATTGGATCTGGTGTCACCCAACCTTCGCGATTTATCTCTCACAACAGCTGTACAGAACGACATCGCTCTGCTAAAAGTAAAACCAGTCAACGGACGGGGGATACGGTTCAATGATTTCGTCCAGCCCGCTTGCCTACCTAAGATAAACACGCCTTACCGTGACGGAACTACCTGTATAATATCAGGCTGGGGAGATGTGGACAGGAAGAACATGGACTTTTGGGGTAAAAGCATTTTTGTGTGTCAGAATTTGTAGTCACTTGTTTGAATGGTCACATGTTATTGGTAATGTCAGTGGCGTAGCGAGGTCGGGTGTCACCCGGTGCGGCACTTAATGGTGTCACCCGGTGCGGCACTTAATGGTGTCAACCCCCAGAGGCGCAGCGACCCTTCCCGGCGACAAAATTTTATATTGCACCCCCCCTCCCCTCAAACTTTCGATTTGCACCCCCCCCCCCCCACCTCAAACATTCGATTTGCACCCCTCCCCTCAGATTTTTTTCTATATATTTTGCTATTTTTTGTCATGGTGTTACCCTCCTAAACGGTGTCACCCGGTGCGATCAGCACCCCCCGCACCCCCTCGCTACGCCTCTGAGTAATGTTACAGTTATGAGGTATTTTAAAAAGTTTGCCTACTAAAACTTCGCAGGTGATGGCAACTCCCCCGACGTACTGATGGAAGCAGAAGCGCCTATCATTAACGACACAACATGCGAGGATGTTTTACGACGTGCCGGTGCTCTCACTTTCAGAAAAAAGAGCATGGTGTGTGCTGGTCACTTGTCTGGAAAGATGGACACGTGCCAGGGGGACAGTGGTGGTCCCCTCGTCTGTCGTGTGGATGGTGAGTACATCAAGGTCATTACATGCTAACCTAGCAGTCCACGGGGACAGTGGTGGTCCCCTCGTCTGTCGTGTGGATGGTGAGTACATCAAGGTCATTACATGCTAACCTAGCAGTCCACGGGGACAGTGGTGGTCCCCTCGTCTGTCCTTTGGTTGGTGAGTACATCAAAGTCATTACATGCTAACCTAGCGGTCCATGGGGACAGTGGTGGTCCCCTCGTCTGTCGTGTGGATGGTTAGTACATCAAAGTCATTACATGCTAACCTAGCGGTCCATGGGGACAGTGGTGGTCCCCTCGTCTGTCGTGTGGATGGTGAGTACATCAAAGTCATTACATACTAACCTAGCGGTCCATGGGGACAGTGGTGGTCCCCTCGTCTGTCGTGTGGATGGTGAGTACATCAAGGTCATTACATGCTAACCTAGAAGTCCATGGGGACAGTGGTGGTCCCCTCGTCTGTCGTGTGGATGGTGAGTACATCAAGGTCATTACATGCTAACCTAGCGGTCCATGGGGACAGTGGTGGTCCCCTCGTCTGTCGTGTGGATGGTGAGTACATCAAAGTCATTACATGCTAACCTAGCGGTCCATGGGGCAGTTGTAGTTGAGTGGATCTGGCACTATAAATAGCGTGAGTTAGGTATTCATGTTGCAGTAGAGTGGAACTGGCACTATAAATAGCGCGAGTCATGTATTTCTGAGAGACGTTCTACAGGTTCGAGCCTCGGATCCGAACTCAAGAATTTAGGGTTAGCAGTCGTACTATCTGCCACCCGACCAGGCCGCTCCATGAGACAAAAGTATTCTGTCATGAATAGTGAGATAGTGGTGGTCCTTCTGTCAGATAGATAGTGAGATAGTTGTGGTCCTTCTGTTTATGTAGATAGTGAGATATTGGTGGTCCTTCTGTTTATGTAGATAGTGAGATAGTGGTGGTCCTTCTGTTTATGTAGATAGTGAGATAGTGGTGGTCCTTCTGTCAGATAGATAGTGAGATAGTGGTGGTCCTTCTGTTTATGTAGATAGTGAGATAGTGGTGGTCCTTCTGTTTATGTAGATAGTGAGATAGTGGTGGTCCTTCTGTATTGTAGATAATGAAATAGTGGTGGTCCTTCTGTCATGTAGATAGTGATATAGCGGTGGTCCTCTAGTTTGTTATGTAGATAGTGAGATAGTGGTGGTTATGCTGCCACCCCATGCATATATTTTCAAATATCAACGACAAATTTCCAATCTCTTTCTGTTCTCTATTCTCAGATGTCTACACAGTTCTGGGCGTGACCTCATGGGGCCGGGGGTGCGGCCAACCCAACGCACCCGGGGTGTACGCAAGGGTCAAGACGTACTCGCGCTGGATCTACATCCTAATCCAAATCTACAGCAATAATGATCAGCAGAGGTTAATCCCTCAACGTCCTTAAGTATGGATTTAAAGTCCTTTCACCATAATTGAGCAGTTTTTTTTTCTATTTACCCAGATCTAAAAATATATAAGAATTAACTTTCATTTGAAGGAATCCAAAATTATTGAACACAAAATGTTAATCTTCTAATAATAAAATACACCCATAAATCTCTATAGGCTTTGGCTTTGTTATAGTATACTTGTATTACTTTGAGTGAAATCTATGTTCATTATAAAAAATAACAGTCTGTTATAGTTATCTAAAATAAAAATAATTTAAACTGAATTGTTTACTACATGAGAATAAAGTAAATTAAAGTGGTCCTTTCGAAACTGGTGGTACATGGAGCAGATCAAGTAGAGTTCACCTGTTTCTGTGACCTCCATGTATGAGGGGATAGTGTGGTCAGCAATATGCACATCCGTCTTTACTTTCTATCAGTGGCGTAGCGAGGTCGGGTGTCACCCGGTGCGGCACTTAATGGTGTCACCCCCCAGAGGCGTAGCGACCCTTCCCGGGGACAAACTTTCAAATTTTCGATTTGCACCCCCCCCCCCTCCCCTCAAACTTTCTATTTGCACCCCCCTCAAGTTTTTCTCTATATATTTTGCTATTTTTTGCCTCGGTGTCACCCCCTAAATGGTGTAAACCGGTGCGGCCCGCACCCCCGCCCCCCCCCCTCGCTACGCCTCTGCTTTCTATGTCTGAAAGAAACACTGACAATGCGTTATTCTTATATGGTTATAAGAGATCTATTAATCTGAAACGTGAGATAGCTCGAAGTTAGAAATCAAAAGATTTGACCACAAACCCACCTAGAAATAACAGAAAGACGCGCAGAACCGACAATATAAAGTTAAAAAAATATAAAAAAAAACAAATTGAATAACCAGAGTATAGGCCACATGAACTATTTTCTTCAACTTGTTTTTATTGGGTCAACATGTGACTGTAAAAATATACATCCACGCCCCCACCTCAGCACCCTAACCCTCGAGATTTAAGTCTTTATCCGTCACTTAATTCATTTCACGACAGATAGACGATGTATGGGAATTTGTGATACGAGGCTATATCGTAGAAACTTATTATCTCCCGTGGCTAGCCATTTATGACTATTTAAGGGAGACAAGTTTGAAATAAATTCCGGGATTAAACTAAATTAAACAAGAATATAACAAACATCAAACATTTCATATCGTTTAATGTACTAATAAATAAATTATACAGCAATCTTTACAAATTGTTGAAAATTAATATTTATCGAAATTAATATTTGTAATTAAATAAATTCATAAATGAGTACCTTAAAATTAAACGAATTATATTTTATATAATTAATGTTACTTCCACTCTGTTTTAATACCTTTTATCCTCTTTGACTTTCGCATTTATTAATCTTTTATGTCATTTTATTTTCTCCTTTCAAATACTATTTAAAAAAAAAAAAAAAAAAAAAAAAAACTTTAATTATATAAAATTGATTTTCATGTCTTAGCTATGACCCTTTGAGGATCAAGGGACACCGGTGTCCAAAATTTTCAAATTATCGCCAAACGAAATTGGAATAACATAGAGTTGTTGAATTTGCTTTAAAACATTTATTACATGATAGACTTAACATAAATAAGGCTGTTTTCAGTATATATGAGATAGTTTTGTTGTCATATGTATGGAAACTTTCCACTTTTAGACCATTTGAAAGGCTACAGTTACATTTTTATATAATAAATACTAAATGTAACAGAGACAAATAACTGGTGGTTTTTTAAAGGTTTACTATAGAGGTATTTTATTTACAATTGTTTTTCCTAATAGTTTCACTTGTTTTTTAAAAGAATAATTTGTTTTGCTGGGGACATATATGTCCCTACGGTCCTGAAGGGAGCTAACTTTTTTTACAATGTCGCTAAGCATGTGTTTTGGCAGTTGAATATATATAGGGGCAGAGCTTTTATTTACTATTATTGAACAAAATACTGAGCAAATACTGTTTATAGACAATTATGACGATGAAAACAACTTGCTTTTTGATGAAAAAGATGTGAATTTTCTGTAGAAAATGTCGACAAAGTAAGTGTAGAAGATATAATTGAATGACCTGTCAAGTCCCAGAACAGATTGTCACCAGTGATGAAGCCTATACCTCATTCTAGTCATTCTATTTTGCATACATTGCATACATCGCCAATCTCACATGCTATATAGACTAATATTCCCTCTAATCTGTATGGTCGCGCAGCCGATCAGTATTTTTTAACATGCCGCGCTTTCATTTCGTAAAATACATGTAATCTTGTATATGACTTTTAGAACACCCCGCACAAAAAATATTCGATGCTCACTAGATTTTTTCCCCTTAGAGGGTGCATTAATATTGGCAAATACCACTCGGACATACCCCCCCCCTCCCCACACCCGATATTTCCACCTCGGAGTTATTACCCAATGACTAATTATGAGTAAGTTAGGACTAGGGTTAGGTTAGGGTTTATGTTAGGATCAAATCTTGGTTTAGAGTTGAGTTTAGGATTTGATATTAGGGTTAGATATAGGGTTGGAGTTTGGGATTAAGGGCAGGGTTCGTCAGCATCAGGGGGGGGGGGTATTTGACGGGGGAGGGGATGGGTAATGTCCTCGACCCGAAGCTGACACTTTACATTATCATCTATAGAACATCATTTGCCCAACGAACAATCAAACGTCCTCGTGAGATTTGAAAAAGGAAACTTAAGAAAGATATTGTTTTCAAATAGAGGTTGCTGGAAACACACTTTGAAATACAAGTTATGGGAAATTTACAATAGATGTTGATTGTAATTAAGATCCCATTGTTATTTGGCATATTTTGAGTGTTTGTAGCTCTGATTATTGATAATAGTAAACAGTAAGTGATTCATTTTCAAACTCATTCGCAAGACATTTGTAGATTTTTTAGAATGAAACTTGTAATGGGATAACATGTACTTCTAAATTTAAAGACTACTAGTTCACGGAACCTCTCCATGTTTCATATGTTGATAATGTGATGCCAATATATAGATTTTAAGTAAAAAAAGGCATTGATACGTACATTTAACAAGAATTCAAGCCTGGCTACAATGCAAAATCAAGCTTGAATATATGCAAATGATAGCGTGAGCTCCCATTTAGGGATTACATAAAAGAAATATTACTTAAAGACCTGGTTGTAGAGGCAAGAAGTTCACTTCAACCTCACAACCTGAACACAAGTCGATGAATCAAATGAACAAAAACGCAGGAGTTATGCACAATGGGCAAGGGAAAAGATTGAGAACATAACTGGCAATATGTGTGATGTCTGCCATATTCGCGTATATTACATAACATCACGTAACTGCTTCCAAAAGCTTCACTCATAGATGACTACACACTCATAAAAGACATACATGTGCTCTCATTACTGATATTCTTAGTTTCCAATATACCAGAACAACAAACACACGTTTGATCACCTTTGGAATAGACATTTTGATATAGCGCATAACACAACCTATTTTCGATAAATGTCCCTTGAGGACCATAGGGACATATGTCCCATGCTGTATCTCAAAAACTATTTAATATATCAGAAAACGGTTAACATCGGTTAACATTTTTGAAATCTACGTGTCATTTTACTACTAAATATGTGCACAGATATTTAAAATTATGCCTGCATTCCTTGTGGTCCTGAAAGGGTTAAACCATCAGATAAATTATTACTATTTTAAATGTTTAAAACAAATACATTTAAAAAAAAATAATTTTCATATTCGTAGTTAACTACTAGACTTACATCTGGTAAAAGACACTATGGTTTCTCTTCTGATAAAAGACACTCTGGTTTCTCTTCAGATAAAAGACACTCTGGTTTCTCTTCTGATAAAAGACACTTTGGTTTCTCTTCTGATAAAAGACACTCTGGTTTCTCTACCCATCGAGAAAATATTTTGCCTTTAACCAAAAATTTCCGAAAATGTATGCAAGTCTAAGCAATGTCAACAGTCGGCTTAAGCCCACTTTTCAGATTCCTCTGGCGAAAGCTGTTGAGAGGAGCTGCTAATGTCCCGGCACTGGAATTTAAACCAATGGCTTCGTCCTTTTCAAAAACAACAGTCCCCTTAGACCTGTCGAATGATGACTGTCCAAATCCTTTCGACTACAACACGATGCAAGTCTATCAAGCATTCGTGGCCACGTCATTAGGTTGCTAATTTGCAAAAATCCCATTCTACGACTCAATCACGGCATAGTCGATACACGTTTATTTTAGCTCCGATGCCTATGATGTCACCATGCTACACAATGCAACTGAGAGCTACAGAAAATACATTTTCAGTTTTGCTAAGTACGACTGGATTCGAATCTACGGAACCCTACGATGCCCCCCCCCCCCCCCCTCCACTTTCATTAATAATGACATACTCATTAAGGCCTTAGAACAATAACTAAAAAAGAACCCGCAATTCAAACATCGCTCTAACAAACAACCGTAGAACAACCATCTACCCAGACAAACATCAGATACTCTACACGACATTAAATTAAATTACAAAGACAAGACTATAGACATCCTAATAGACATACCAGGCATACAACAAGCCTACCAACGCTGCTCATCTACAAAACACTGGACAAACCATTGCCGCCAATCTCACCTCAACCCACCTCAGTATGTAATCCAATGTAGGGAGATCATTAATGACATGTAGGGAGATCATTAATGACATGTAGGGAGATCATTAATGACATGTAGGGAGATCATTAATGACATGTAGGGAGATCATTAATGTCATGTAGGGAGATCATTAATGACATGTAGGGAGATCATTAATGACATGTAGGGAGATCATTAATGACATGTAGGGAGATCATTAATGACATGTAGGGAGATCATTAATGACATGTAGGGAGATCATTAATGACATGTAGGGAGATCAGTAATGACATGTAGAGAGATCATTAATGTCATGTAGGTAGATCATTAATGACATGTAGGGAGATCATTAATGACATGTAGGGAGATCATTAATGACATGTAGGGAGATCAGTAATGACATGTAGAGAGATCATTAATGTCATGTAGGTAGATCATTAATGACATGTAGGGAGATCATTAATGACAAGACTTTCCTCCCACAGTACCAGAGTGACCACCACCCCCCCCC